TTTTGTTGTTTTTAATTAACCCTTTCTTTCAAGGAGAGACCCCCTCCAGCGGAGAGTACCGAACAAGAAAGGGTTGCGAAGGAAGTGAACGACCACCGGCTGCCTTACACTACCCTTTCATCGGGCTTCACGTCCCGTGGGCGATGTAAATATGCGGGGAATTGCACCTAGGAGACAGCCCGACCTACGCCGCGATTAAACCTTCATCTAATTAGCTCGACTGATTGCCCGGCGCACCCGCGGGATCGACCGAAAACCGATCTCGTTTACCTGCAAGAATCCGTTCCTTGCGTGCGGCTCCTTTCAATAATTTTTTTGCTATAATTGTAGACAATGTGGAATAACAATGGACTGACAATATAATGAATCTGATGATAATAATTTATGTAATATAATGAATTTTATACTGAACAATATGAATTTTGACAGAAATAAAAATATATTTATATTTCGACTTATTTTATGTTAGAATGAACAAAATCCAAGAAAGCTATTTTACAAAAATTCGATTTTGCTGATTAATTTCGTTTCTTCGCTTAAAAATATTCACTGGTGTTAATCGTTTATACTGGAGTTATTATGAAAATCGTATTTCTTTTATCACACTTTTAACTCATTACTAATTAATTATTTCTTTGGACTGATTACGAAGCATCGCTCACGCTGTGACAGGAACGCCATGCGGAATGATAAACTCGTACTCTTTTGCAATAATTAAAGACACTTACAATTAACACCACGCATGATGATAAATAAAAGCAGAATTTATTTTACACACCAGTCTGGATAATAAACATATTAATACCTTTCCAAATACTTAATTCTAAAATTAAATATAAACTAATTTATTCAACTCATATTGCAAGCTGTGTTCTACAAAAATTGGAACGAACATAAATCATTAAATCCAAATTCAAAAAATAAATCATGCTAATTTGATCAAAATTCTAGATGTGAGATACTCATAGATATACACGCGATTTGCGTCACGGTGGATCTATCGCTATTCCAAGAAAATTCCACGTGGGTTGACACCGAGGATCACAGTTTCCGAGAAGTTTCAAAACGCTTACGGTTATAAAATCAGTAGGTAGAAATGGAGAACGGGGGGGAGGACGACGAAGAGGAGGAATCGTGTTAGAAGTCGGCGCTTTGTCGCGGTCACGGGGTTGTCAATCACCGGTGATAGGAGACGACACATTAATCTCGAGAATAGCCCGTTGACCGCACACTGCGGTCGAAACCCCACGACCTCGTCTTTCGCGACCCTTCTTCTCCTCCCCCTTCCACGCCTTCCTTGTTGGTTACGAAAAGAATACACCAGAGATTTAATATGCTTTAACACTGAAATCTTAACGAACGAGTAAACTGAATGATTTGTGTACATGATACACGTTGCTCGTTTCTTGTATTGCAAGTTTTTTAATACATGCAGACAGACAGGAACTAGATACATACAATATTATGTACTTGCATTTAAAACTGTATAAATGAAGGCTGCGAGTTTTAATACATATGTATCTTCGAGATTATTGTGTCAATTTTGAAATTTCTGATGAAACCTTGACACAATTGATAAACGTTCCTCTTTTACTGAATATACAAAGATTTTCCTATCACATATGTATAATATACTAATCTATAAAATATTCCAATCACATAAAACACATAATAATAAACAGCTTATTTTGATCTTTTTATTGCTTCTTCTTTTTGATCTTTTGATTTTATTGTTGGACAAAATATCCGTTCTTCTTTTATAAAAAAAAAAAGAAATCGGGAGCTACTTGAGTCGACTCTTTAAACTGTCGCATCTCGGACAAATACGGAACATGCTTATTTTGCGGCGTCACGGTACATTTGCCGTGGTCGCGGCGTTTTCTCGGTCCACGGATCCGGTGTGCGCGCGAGAGAGGAATAATATCGGATCGCGTGAACCGCGACGCTTGCAAAAACTGACCGAGACCCCTGACAAATGCCCGAGAAGGCGTAGCCGGACGTCTTTTACGGATGAGAAACGGACGCCCCGGCTTATCCGCGTTATTAAGCGAATCGTTCCCACCAGGAATGGACGCTATTTGTTTCGTCCAGAGATCGGCCAGATTAATTCGCGTTTGGCTAACTTGGACAGGTCCCCCGCATTCTTGGCAACCTTGCGACTGTTTCTATCTTATAAAAACGTGAATAAAATAATTCCACTTCATTGTGTTCGTAAGGTTAGATAACAATTGTACTGAATATGATTTCAAAGAGTTCAATTCGTAAGGGGCTAGGGTAGTCACGTGACTTTTTTAACAGGCTTCAGTAAAATTTTGACGTTTTTTGCTGTGTTTTATCGATAAGTGGGCAAAAATTGTGCAAAAAAAAATTGAGGCAATGTAACTACAATTTTTCGTCCATATTATGACGCTCATATTACTAAATATCAGCTGATTAAATAAATAGTGAATTTTGAAATTCCTAATTACACTTGAATTATTAAAAACAGCAAAAATTTTTATACGTCCTTTATTTGTAGCGTGATAGAGGGCTAGGGAGAAGAAGGAATAGGGCGAGATGAGACCTAAGTGGAGATTTATCGGGTCGCGGATCCGGGTAGCCGGTCCCGGGCAGGAGCTTGCGCGACTCGGGCCACCCAACTGGCCGATCGCATCGCGATAAACGCATTATTTAATTACCGTGAGTAATTACCGATTATTACACGGCACGGCACACGGCCTGTCCCGAACGCGCTCGCCGCCATTAATTATACGAACGATCGGACGAAACACTCGTTACGCAGCACTCTTTAATCGGTTTCGGACTCCGTTCGCCTGTCGCAGAGCCCCTCCGAATTCAACCGATTAAGCCACGTCCTTTATTTTTGTACCTTCATCTCGGAATACGTTCAAAGTTAAAATAACATTTTCAATTATACGGAAAAAGGAGATAAAATTAGATTTATACGAATCGAAACACGTATTAAATTTGTAAAAGAATTTGATGAATGATCCATTATTTTATATTATGTAACGAATGCGTGTACGCGTATTAGAAATTTTCCTTTGTTTCATGTCAGCCAGCATATTGACTGCAAGAATTGGACGGCAATTCTCTGGATTAGGATTAAATATTGATAACCGGCTTGATATAGATTAATGCGCATCCGCTGGCAGTTCAATCTCCTCCGCGTGACTCCGACAGCGATTTGTCTCCCATTCGCGAAAAGGAGAGACAGAAAAAGCAGTCTCCCTCTAGAAGGGTGAAGATGGGGAGACAGAAGGGAAAGACGTTCGGGATCGGCACCTTGGACGTTCCGCAGATCGTCGAGTCCTCTTATCTGCTCCGTTTCTCTCTTTATCTCTCGATTCTCCGCTTGTTCCCTTCGTCGCTCGACCCAAGTCCCAGTTATGATGAACTGTGTCGCTGGGGAGGGCATTTATTCCGAGATACACCCTCCTAGGGGAATCTATTAGCGCGCCGGGGTACGGATACTGCCTTATTTACTCTCGCGATAAGGAATTACTTGCTAGGGAACTGGGTGGAGATAATGAGATAAATGAAAAATTACGCTGCCTGATTATCAGGTACATGACACAGAATTGAATACTTTTACTTACATAATACTTGCTAAAAAACGAAGATCCTCTTAAAATTAATAAGTAAAAATTAATCTAATCTAATTATCTTTAGGATTAAAATCTCTAGGATTAAAATCTAATAAGTGGATGATGCGCTTGCCAATATATTAATTAACAAATAAAACGTCTCTAATAATTAATAGCTAATTTCGATCAGCAGAAAGGAGGCCGCAATCAGACAGAAAAAAACGAGATGTAATTTCGCGCATAAATTGTGCTAGAAGAGGTGAAACCTCGGGCTGGAAACGAGCGTTGATTTCACGAATGAAATATACGGCCGAGGTCGCGCCGGTGAAAAGAGTGGAAAGTTAGTCGCTGAGCTGAAGCAACGGCAAATTCGAGAATTCATCCGCGGGCAACGGGATCATTTTTTAGTACAATCACCGGACGATTCTTGAATATTCATCCGCGAGCGCGCGCGTCAAGCGCGATCGACGGCTGACAGTTCCCAGTCGGCTTATATATCTCGCCGATAAATCTCGCTTTAGCGAATCCATCGGGATTCGTTTGCTCGCAATAATTTTATCCACGACACCCGCCGCGATGGACCGCGAACCAGGTGTTCGCGAACGCTCATGAAAGCGACTGACCGAGCACGTTCCTGGCTTTTACAAACCGGGCTTTTGTTACAGCGATAATGTTGCCTGGAATGCTATTTTAGAAAGTATTTCAGATCAATTCTTTTTATTGAATAATCGACTGATCATTAAAACAGTTACTATTATTATGTAATAAAAAGGAGCAAAACAATTTTGTTGAAGATGAAATCTAACTCAATACACTTAAATATTTATTAACTTTGAAAAATAACGTAGCCCACGAAATAATTCAACATTTCGTAAACATTTGAGAAGAACATAGTTAGAATGCTGTTGCACATAATACACTGTGATGAAAAATGTCGAGTATATCCAGTGCCGGGCGAATTTCCACGTGGGACGACTCGACGTCGAAAGCTTTCCTCTCGTTGATGGTTTACGGAAGGCGTCGCGTCGCGTGTACGAAACGAAGCCGGTCGCGGGGGTGGCGCGACGCGCGTGTCGTCGCTCGGCTCGAAGCCGGTAGTGAAAATGGTTTGTGCCAGAAAGTCTCGGATAAGTTAAACACGACCCGTGGTCCGGAGGCGTCGTAAAGCGCCGCGGCGCCTTCGTGTTTACGCGGACGACGTCGAGGCCCACCAACCGCGTCATCCCTTTCCATCGGCGCTTAACGCGCTGTCCTCCTCGCTCCCACGCCGCACCGATTCACTCTACTTATTCCGCGTCTATTTTCGACCGCGTGACAAATCTCTCTATGTCGGGCCGGATTTATCGAGCGACATTCTAGCCCGTGCCGTGCCCATATGGTAGCCACGCGAGCTATTTCAAGACCGAGGTGCGATCTTCTTCGACATGTTCACTCTCTTTCTTCTAACACCGCGAACGTTTTCTGATTGTGATAAGGTAGGATATCAAATTCCCGAGAACGGATAGAACGTATTACATTAAGTACATGTGAAATGATTATAAATAGAGAAAATTGGACTTTCTCTAGTGATAGTTACTGAATATAGTAATAATTACTGTTTGAGATTGCTTAAGAAATTAGGAAGCTTGCTTGAATAATTTTGGTTACTTCGAAGAACAGAAGCATAAACGATATATAAAATATTGATCGAAACACCGTTTAGGTTTAGGCCGATATAATTTACATGCAGTTTACAGTATCTTGCCTTCGACAAGGCTTATTTACATGAAACCCGACTAGGACAAAAAAGATGCTGGTAGTCAATCGAAGCAGATCGAGGTGGAGGACGTCTATAGCAAGGCGGGACGATGATTTACGAGTTTGCGTCACTGGAATTTGTCAGTCGCCGTCCCCGGCCGGCTATCCGATCTCACGATATCGATCTTCGTTCGCGGCGTGTCTTCCAATCGAGAACTATCGGACGTAAGAAAAACGCCGATGACGAAAAAAGGACGAGGCGACCTGTTTCATCCGAGAAAAACTAATGTAAGTCTTAATAAAGCGGAGAGGCAAGATAAATCGACGCATTAGCATCTCGGCCGGGCGTGATTCATGGTGACGGTTTCGAGCTATGCGGGGAATATGATATATCGTCATTAGCATCGGTTTCGTATTAGAACAAATAGGCCGCGGGTTTCAGCCCTTAAAAGGCGCGACGTGTCCCGGCCCTTAATGGCCCGTAATGCACACCCGACCACCACCCCAAGAACTTGGTGCCTCGCAGTGACTTGACTTTTTCCACAGCCATCTGCCTTCGAGCTTTGTTTCACCGCCGAGCCGAACAAAAGGAACCCTAAACTCAACGCGTTTTCAAGAATAAAGGTAAAATGAAACGTTTGTCAAAATTTGTGGTATGACATATACAGATTGAAAATGTTTAAACATCTCGTAATTTTTGCAATTAGTATGCAATTACAGGAAATCGAATTGATATTAACTTATCATTTATGTACATGAACAATTTCTGCTGTTTCCTTATGATAAAAATTCGTATTTTGAGAAACAAAATAAATGAAAGAATTAAGGGAAGTACATTTGAAATAGTCAACCACAGATGACGGATGTTTCCCGGTGAGCACGACGTCGTCAGTTCGTTTCCATAATCGCTTACCCGGAACCGATTTCTCGCTAATTTCGAACAAAACAATATGCCAATTTCGTAAATCGTTTCTTCCTTCCTAGAACAATCTCGCAGGAGACTCGAAAGAAACTGAAAGCGCCGATTACAGGCAAATTTATTCGTGTTCCTCGTTTAAACGTGCGAACATGTTCGACGTCCGGGTGTACGTATATGTATGTATATGGACGCACGTAAGCCGGCTGGCGCGAGACAAAAGGCCCGCGACACAGGGGGTGAGTGAGCAACCCCTTTGATCCGGTGTAATTCACGGTTTGCCGGTGCATTTATTAACGTGTCACTCGGGGCGACGCCTTCCCTCGATGATTTATCGCGTACGCGTCATGAGCCGAGAACGTGTACCGGGGCCAGAGTTCGACGGGCCCGACCACGGGCGTCTTCGTCGCCCGCGGCCCGATCCTTCCTTTCGTCTTCCAGCTGCCGAATCGAACGCGCAGATGGAGACGCAGATGGTACCTTCCTGCTCCTACAACCGCTTGCTGTCTTTCTATTCAACATTTTTGTAGAGACAGCGTCGACAGTTTTCTGGTGATCGGTTATGCTGACTGATGAGCTGTTAACTCTGCCTCTGGTACAATTTGTACATTTTCTTCGTCAAATCATTAGTATTTTCCATTATTCTTTTGTCGGATTCTCGACGTACAAGAGACATAATCATGAGTTATGTATACAAATGTACATCAGTAAGATTATATCACGTTAGGTTCCTTTTTAAAAAAGGAATCGAAAATAATGATGGTATCACACATTACGCTAATTAGCGGACGTCGTGTCGTCACAATAATCACTCTACTAATTTCAAGAAGAATCCCCATAATAGTGGAAATGAAATGTTCGCATTTACTGGATTATTGCAAATGGACTCCGGTGAACGAATCCTGGAGCACGCACGCGAGTCACGCGTATCCCCGTGAGTGGTGTATACGTGCATCTAATAAATAGTTGGGGCATCATGGCGGACGATTAACTGAGAGAATTTCTTTCCGTTCCGTTCCGTGCAACCTTAGACGGGACCGGAGGATACGCATACTTTAAATACCGATGCCCTTACCGATACAGACGGAGGGGAAGAGGAGGAACGGGCGAGCAATTTAGCCTGGCCAGGGAAAATTTCCCGAAGTTCGCCACCGATACTTTACGTGCCTGCAAGCTACTCATCTACGTCCTCGATCCACTGCCAATTAAACGTTTTTCACCGGGCGCTGTACGCGACCCGGCGCTGCATCGCGTGTGCTCCGTCCGAGGGCCCGTCGATTGCGCCTTCGATGATAATCACCACCGTCCCTTCGAGCACGTCTTTATGGATCTTCTTCTTGCACAGAGAAAAACTCGGCAGATATGGTTCCGGGGTTAATTCGATGCGCGTATGTACGGCATTAATGATTGAGGCCTCGTGAAATTGAATTACAGGTTCGAGACGAATTACAGCTTCATGCGACGAATGAAAATTCTAATAAAACGCAGTTTAGGTTTAGCGATTATTAATTTGTCTTTATGGTATCTAGTTTGCTAATCGATCTGGCCACTAATAAAGAATGTTGTCTTCTAAGTGATACAAAAAGCTAAGAAACTTAGACTTCTACAATTCTCTGCACTAGTCTAAACTAATAAATTGGCACGGTAACAGTATTTGAAAACTCGGAAGACATCCGTTTGAAAAGAATCGAGATGATCATTAGCGAAGGACGGGGGCGCGATGAAAACTGTATCGAAACGGGCTGACAAGACAGACACGTCCCATCGATATAAATAAAGTATCCGCGAGGGTGATAGAGGATCCGCGGTGTCGGCTGACACAACGTCGGGTCCAAATGAAAAATGCTGAGACCGACGATCAATGTAAATATATTCATGACGTGGGGTGGTTGAGAGCGGGCCACGGGGATGCCACATACGTGTTTATATGTGCGTACGCGCGCGCGAGCGAGCGAGCGCCACGGACTTTTATAGGATGGGGCTCTCCTCCTCTCCCGTCGACGACTCGATGCCACTCGGACGGCACATAATTCACTCTTTGGCAGCTCATTACAATTTAAAAAGGCTTTTGTCAGTACCATATACCCGGGACCCCGTGATTCCTTACGAGCTCGCCACTTGCTCCTCGCGTCAGGGCCCTGTCACCTTGGGGACGAAACGAGCGTTCCGTAGAGACTGCGAACAGCTATAATCCTTTCATAAACGACCGGCAAGTTCCTTAATTCACAAGACGGAAACAGGTATGCTTGTCTCATACATTTATATACTATAGCATATATTCCTAGTATGTATACTGTTAACGTGCAGATTTATTCTGTGTTGGTTTAATGTTAATATATAAAATTATTTAATTCTTCAGATTATATATTGTTACACACTTGTTAATATAATGATCGAATAAGATTTATGCGATTCATGTTTGAAAATTGAAGAATATATATGAATCCTCATTTGGCAATTTTAGACGAACTTCATTTTTCGCACGACAAATCGGCGTGTCGAGTTTTTTTAAAGGAAACCGGTTCATTGAGCAAGGAACAAAAGGTCGACGAGTCGTCGCCCGGTTGCTTCCAGGATTTCTAGTTCTCCATCTGGTCCGATCGACGTCGAGAGAGAAATGACTTCGACTCGCATTTTCGAGACCGATCCTCGGCCAATTACCGAGAGGTCGTCTTTTGTACAGGGGGCCGATCCTCTGATGCTGATGAATAGCCGATAGTCGATCGGTGTCGGCAAACTCGCGTCTCGAACCCGGTGGTGATCGAAACGAAAGCGGGACACGAAGATACGTTCGAACAATCGGCTACCTGCCACCTTTCATAGTACGTAACATATATTTTCCTATTTTAACTTAAATCTTGAATGGATTATTGAGATTATGCTAGCCACATGAAAGTTTAAATTAAACGATTAACATAAATTGATGCAACTGTTTATATGAGATTCGTACCATATTTATAATTACAAGTAAGCTTCGTTCGAAGTGGCCTTACTTAAATTGTTGTTATTTACAATTTTACGATTTCTTTTGTTTTATTATTATTTTTGTATACATTCTTTTTAAATATTAAATTTATATTGATATAGTCCTTATTGAATGTTTGTTAAATGGTTTCAAGTGATTTATTTCGAACAAACGGTAGAAGAAAAACTTTATTAAATATTATGTAGTAACCTATTCCAAGCTTGTATTCATAAACGCATATTAGAAATTATTATCTTTATGCCACCGCGCTAATTCTTTTCAGATTAGATAGCAGAAACGCGAAAAAAGGAAAATTCGACAGAAGGTATAAACCCGTCCCACATTTTTTTGAGTTCAAGAACAAGAAGAAGCTGCCTAGTGGAAAATGCAACGGCGTTCCCGTGGGACGCGTTCGAAGGCTGAAATTGATATGTATTCTGCGGTGCGGCGGGTCCAATCTATCGTCGGTCAAGCAACCGGAATTTTAAGTGCGATACAGAATGTCGATACGAACTGCGATGCTTTGTACGAGCTATGGGGTGGTTCCGTCGAGGCCGAGTTAACTCGACGATGATCGGAATATCGTCTCCAGTATTCTCAAAATAGGTTTATCAAAATAATACAGTTTGAATAAAATGGTGAATTTCACTTTCTTCTAGTGATAATTAGATACTACAGTGGTGATACAAATAAATAAACGAATACTAAAATATATCACAATCATATGTAAAATTAATATTAAAGTATATGAAAATCAAAACAAATCAATATCAGAAGAATAATGCTGAATTTCACTTGCGAAGAGATTGTATTTGCGTAATAATTGCGGAAAGTAGATGTAAAAAGAATGCATATTGATTTGGAATTTGTTATTTACTAATAAAACGAGTATTTAGATCATAATTTACACAACATTATAATCTATTCTAGATTATAATTTACACATAATTTCCAAGACTCTTCCAATGCACTAACACAATTTACTAGATGAATGTATATTAGGATAAAAAAACTGATATAGTCAAATCCCTTTAAATACAATTCTTAATAGTTTCCACTACCATATTCAATGACCAGTTTCCATAAAGTATAACCTATATTTTTCATAGCTACTAGAAAAAGTCGATCAACAACAAACGGCCGGTCCAATCGTTTCTTTTCCACGTTCAGAACTTATGAGGACATAAAGCTTGCCCCGTATATATTTTCCCGATCCGTATGCATGCTCGCGAGCAGATCGCAGGGGGGGGGGGTTGTGGAGGGTCCGGCACTGGTCATCCTCGGAAAATTGAATTTCGTCCCTGAGGGCCGGCCGGATGAAGTATGCTGACAGTTGGAAAATTTGCGTTTAACCGGACGCGCGCGGCCCCAGAGTGGAAATCTTCCTAACCCAACCTCCTTCCTTCATGAAACGAATCCCAAGAAGCGATCGTAAAGAAACATTTGAACTAGGTACTCACCGTGAAAAACCCATCCGTGATGACATCTGTCGCAGTACCGGATGTGCCGCTTCCCTGGCGTGAAGGAGTCGCAGGAGCATCCGTTTACGGTGCATCTGATACACTGAAATCACAAAAAACATTAATTGTCAACAGTTTTTACTGCAGGAAATTCAAAACACAGTTCCTTAGTCATCTTACTTGTAACAAGGAAATAAACTTAATTTCTAGAAAAATAAGAAATATTCAGAAGAAGTAAAATTATTGCTTCAATAAATTAATCTTTTTATGGTAAAAAGAAATCAAAATAGAAGGGGCCGAAACATTCAGCCGAGGAAGCGATAAAAAGGAGGGCAGAGAATTTTTATT